AGAGGGTAGGGAGAGATGGGAGACTGGGGAGGAATTGCTGGCTGGGAGGGTGGGGAGGGGCTGGGATGGAATTCCCAGAGGATGGCCCATCCCTGGAGTGTCCAAGACCAGACTGGATAAACCTGGAGCAATCTGGGCTAGTGGGGTGCCCGTGGAGAGGTGGGATGGGATAAGCTTTGATGTCCCTCCAACCCATCCCAGATTCCGTGACCCAGCGAGCTGGATGAGGAACCCCCCACCCTTTCCAACATGTGGAGGGGAACCCCCCCTTCCCACAGGCTGGAAACGCCCCGGGATCCCTCTGGGAATGGTGGCCAGAGGCACCATTCCCACCCAGCCCTGTAAAGCCCTCGGGGATCTCACCGGGGTGGTCAAACCCCGCAGGAATCCTGAGAGACGTGCGGGGCTCCAGCCCGGCCTCATCTGCCAGAGGTGACAACCTGATTTATTGTCACAACCTGCAAAGCCCCGGGAGGGGACGTGGCCAGGCCGGGTCCGGGGCCATCCCCCCTCGGTCCTGGCAGCGGGAGTGTCAAAGCAAAGCCCTGGGGATCTCCGGGATCTCCCAGACTGTGCCCCCACCCCAAAGGAAAAGTTAAACACCCTCGAGGTCCCCTTTTTGCTGCCGGGTCCCTCTTCTGGGGGATGCAGGAGGAGCGGGGCTGTCCTGTCCCACCGGCAGGGAGGGGGCAGGGAGCTGCCAGGGCCCGTCACCCGATCCCAGCAGCTCCAGAGTAAACTTAGCTTGGCCTTTGGGAAAGGACTCGGGCTGGCAAAACACGCAGTAAATCACGGCCCGGATGCCACCCGTGCCTGGAGATTATCAAATCCTACACCCCGCGGGCTGGGAGCCCTCCGGGGAACGGGGGCTCTCACCCATCTGCTGCCCTCCCCCCCTCCTGGAGAGGGCAGAGGGGTGGGAACCCTGGAGTTTGGGAGGGGAGGGGGAGAGGTGTGGGGTCAGTGCTGGGTGTGGGGTCAGTGCTGGGTGTGGGGTCAGTGCTGGTGTGGGGTCAGTGCTGGGT